AAAAAAAAAAAAAAAAAAAAAAAAAAAAGAAAAAAGCGATACGGACGCGTCTTTGACACGCACGACGGGATCTCTGTCCTTCGAATCCGACTACTTTCTTCGCGCACAAGCGCGTCTCTGTGTATCTGCTGATACTAAAAACAAAAATACCCGATTATTCTTACGTGTATCTCGCACGACAACATGCACGATTGTGAACGAGGTATAGCAAAGTACGTATAGCTGTGATAGAAGAAGAATTGCTCGATTGTTTTCGTTTGACGAAATTACGTTCGTCGACAACCGGAAAATCTAAAGCAATTTCTCCTAGAAGATAATCGCGCGTGAAATAAGACGATCTCCCGATTTCCGGTCCAATTCCAATCTCGGAATCTTTCGAAAGTGATTCTTTCCTATTTCTTTTGGTCGTTCTTCCCCATTTTCTCCACTCTCTCTCTCTCTCTCTCTCTCTCTTTCTCTCCGCACGACTGAAAGAATTCGAGTTGAACAGCGCGTTCTAAGAAAAAATGCGGTCACGGATCATAACGCGAAGCCACATTATGGACGAGCAGAGATCGGGGCCGCGTAACGCAATATCTGAATTTGAATGTAACGTGCCGCGGATGCACTGGAACGAGAAGATATCGATCATGGTGGATTATCGATCACCGGATGGAGAATACACGGTTATCGCTACACGATCGTTTCAATACCACGTTGAGATTATTAAAATTATTGACCTGTACTCTTACTGAGATGGATGTAGCGGGGAGGGTAAATGAAAGTACTGAGTTAGGTACATCGATCGATTCAACTATAATTTCATTAGTAAATTGCTCGTTTACGAGAAATTTAGATGTGAAATAATGCACAGTAGCCAGCGTGAAATTTTGTCTCAACTTGAACTATGTACGAGTAAAATTTTTCTAAAGAAAATCTTCGTGAAAATGCAGTTATAGTGACAAACTCATCTGAACTTTTTTTTAAATTTCAGTGTCAAAGCATTCATCTGATGTCTGAAATTAATTTCTTTGATAGATTTGAAATTTTGCCGACGATGATGAGCCATTGAGTTCAAGGTGGAAACTTTATTACTTAATTTCTCAAATTTTTACTTTCAAATAAGTAAATGAAAGTGTAAAAAGATACGAAAAGTGTTTAAACGTTTGTATCTTTGATTGAAGTTTCATTTGTATATTAAATTAGAGATTAAAATAAGTATTTTACAATTTTTTCAAAATGAAATTTCACGTTGAGAAACCACTATGCCGGAAATCAAACAAAAGATCTTTTTAACTGTGGAACAATAAGTAACTTTTTTCAAAAGCCAATTATTTCAAGAACACACAGTAAAATCCATATTCGAAAACCCCCATTATCCAAGTATTCTAAGGGGTCGTGTCCATTTGAGAGTTTCTATTGACGCTTCCGAGAGTACGTACTCTCAAATTGCGAGTGCACTTGAGTGCAACCCGGAAAATTTTTACTCTCAGATATATACATGGGTTTCGAGAGAAATCGATCCGACAAAATTTATTGAAAATTAGTGTCTGCCTATATACTGCAATTTTTCTCAATTTCTCTTGACTTTCAAGCACTATATATTATTAATTTATAAAATTTTCAATATTTCATCTTATTCTATATTCAACACATACTTCGAGAAAGTAGTAATATAATTAAAACATTAATCAAAAATTACGAAATCAAGTAATTTAATTTTAAATTGTTACGATCTTTAACCACATCACTGATAAAATAAGAATCAAAGTATATACATAAATGAAGTGAGACTGTGTTTATAAAATGTGCAAAAACATTAAGTTTCGATTATTACTTACAATATTTTACAATAGTAATAAAAACAATGAAGTTGTTGAATTACATGTAGTATTGATTTTCTTCTATGCAACATTCAAATTTCCTCCCAGTTATTTACAGAATATTTTATTTTCTTTCTTCAGGCGACATGTATCCATGAAATGATTAAATCGAACGTCCTTCTGTTTCGTGCTGCTCTTATGTTCTTAAAAGACTAGAACTTCCTTAGATTTTCTTCATTTCCTGTTTGGCAATTTTAAGCTGGATTATCACACTAATGTGCTTGACTATTACTGCCTAAGGACCCACGTCCTTGGATTGGAACTGAATAATTCGATTTTGAATTTTCATGATTTATTTTCACGTCGAGAATTTTTTTTGTTTCAAAATTGCAATATTTTCTCAGTTCTAAATATATTTAAATATAACCCAGG